CGAGTTTTCTTTGTTAGTTGTATCTATCTTTTTTTTTAATTTCATTTTTTGGTTTTTTACGTATGATTTTTCCGGCCTAAATTGTTTTCGATGAAGTTACATCTGCTTATTTGACCCATAATTCGTCGTTTGAAGGATCAAATTTTTGAAATTTATTTGTGCTTCCGGATACATCAGAATATAATACTTATAATAGAATTTTTATGGCTCAAAATGTTTTATAGTCAATTTTTTGGTCGGTTCAACAGTCGTCTACCCAAGTTAGGTCTGCTCAGTTTCCACTTGATGATTTTTATAAAACTCTAATTGAACTCTGGTAATTGTGTTTCTCTGTATCTTTCCTCAAAAATAACCGCATTTTGGACGAAACTAAGAGAAATCAATTGAAAAAAAAAGAATAATTTCTGTTACTCCGTCTTTCGTGTTTCGTCATTTTCTTTGTGTTATCTGCTGTGTTTTTTTTCCTATATCACAAGTGTTGCGCCTCTGTTTATCACTCCAACCATTCTGATGATTGTTTGTTGTAACTGCTTTTGGTTGAAAACAAATTAAGACGAACTCTTTTTATTCGCTCGACCAAAAAAAGCGAAAGTTTCTAACAGGCTTTTCTCGACTCTGAGTTATTTTTTTTTTTAGAATTTTCGTATAATGTTCGAATCACGACTGGAAGGGCTTCAACTTGATACATTATTCGATCCATTTCGATAATTATTTGTGGTACCTGTTTTTGCGCGAAGAAAACTAAAACAACCGAATTCACAGTTTCACCCCATTTTCAATGGTCGGAATAAAAAAAATAATCCCGAATTCACAGTTTCACTCCATTTTCAATGGTAGGAACAATAAAATAATCAAGTTGATGAGAATTCTTTTGTGAAATAACTGACTTCAAGCTGCTACTTCACACAAAAGATGGTGTTTAAGAGTAATGAACGTAGTGAAGACTCTTATATAGGTCTTGCCGATTTTTTTGTGTTTTTTTTTTTAGGAAAAGTCTTAAAAGTCTCTAATAGTTACAGATGTGCATTCATACATATTGATGCATTTCTGAATGCCTTTGGGTATAAATGCACTTTTTGAGTTCAATTGAAATTCATCTGCTGAAAATGACGTAAATAGCCTTCTCCAAATACGAACGTGGAAATGGCGCGAAAAAACGTGAGCGATTTCTAGTATCAATAATGGAAGTTTTTTTAGATTTTCAGCGGAATAAAAAGTTTACCTATTGATCCAGTTTTCTCTAGATGGGTTCATATTATCAAAAAAATGCCAATCATGAATTGTTCTAGAACTTCAAGGAGGTTAAAGGGTATGTAATTTTTTTTTTGAAATTCGTAAGTTGAGATTTTTTTCAGGAAAGTCAGTGTTTTTTTAATGTTTACTTGCGTTCATTACTCTTTTCCAATCTTCAATTGGCTGTTTTCTGATTGAAAATTTCAGAATTTATGTTTAAGATAAAGAACTATTATACAGATTGACTTTTTGTGGTAAATGCCAGTTTGATCATTGGATTGTGCCCAGCCTGTTTGCGCACAGTTAACATTGTAGATGAGGTCGATATCGCTTTGTGGCATGAGAACCAGTAGAACCGTTTGTTTTCTAAATAATAAATTCTGTATATTGGGAAACTCTTTTGTCAGAATGTCGTGTCTCAGCATAGTTTTCATAGTTACACTTGCGAGAACAAGTGTCTTGTAATCGAGAACTAGATCTTTTCCCGTAAACAGGTGTTCTTACATATCTGTAAGAAACTGTGAAGCTGATTTAGTTGTGCTTGTTAGAACTTCGCGTCTCCTTCCCACTTGGCTTACACTTAACGCCGTTGCCTTTGTACCTTTATGTCTGGGGTTCGAGTCTTCCTGCCGGACTTCTTATTTTTCAGAATGTTTTTTGGCTCCTTTATCGGCGAATTTTTTGTGCTGTCAGCAATTTTAATCGAAGAAGCAAGTTTTTTGTTTTAGTCGTGTAATTTTTGAGGAAAAAATTCAATCTACAAAAGTTTTTTTTTTAGTGATCAGCATTAGTCTGGCGTTTTTTCAGAAAAGGAATTTGTGTTATGATACAGAAGACCACGAAACCCTTTTTAAAACAAAAATTGACACTTTCTCGATGTCCATATAAAAAGTCGAATATTCTTGATTTTCAGACCAATCTGGGTTGATTAATATACGGTCCTTTCTTCTCTCTATCTTAGAAGGTAAATCTAAATTTCGCTAGAAAATATTTTACTAGAAAAGAACTTAGTAAAATTTTGCCTTAATTCTCGATATTTATTTAAGGGTTGGATTGGGGATATTTTGGTTGAAGTGTCATGAAAAAATTGTTGGAATAAAATTCAGTAGTTTTCAGCTTCTATTTCTACTTTATTGGGAAATCTCTCAATTTGTAGCAAATGAGAGATAACGAAGCTAAAAACTATTTTCTTGTGATAGTCGTTTGTACGAACGAATCTACTCGTAAAGTACGAATGTTTTTATTCCCAATACCTAAAACGTTATATAAGCTTTTCCAAATACGCTAAGCATTGGTTTTCATTAATTTTGCAAATGGATATAAACAGATTGTTTTTAGTAACGGTGTCACACTTTGTGTGAACAATAAATTCCATGTTTCTGTTTCAATATGAAATCAGAACAAGATGATGTTTGTTTGTGTAAGCAGACTCAATAACTAGTCTTTGAACCTTACAAAGCAAAGCGCCTATCCCAAATAAATAATTAAATTCAGGTAAAAAGGTTTTCACTTTATGCTAGTTTATTAAAACTTTTCGTGCCACTTGCCCAGTAATTGGCTTTAATTTTGGGGCAAGTCAATCCTCTTCAATTACATTTTTTCCGAGGGTCATGTTTTTGTCTTCCTTTTTAAGGTAGTCTCAGTTTTTTCAGATACCAAAACAATTGTTTTAAATTCTCCATTCAAAATTGTATCCAAAGCAGAGATAGATTGACGATGAAAGCTTCCATATATAGGCATGCATATTGTCGACCTCAATTGTGGCAATTCGGTGAAATGTTCAGAAGTAAGTAAGAGTGACGTCTGGTTGACATTATTAAGTATTGCAACTTGGCAAAAAATTACTATCATTCTGTGTATCCAAATCACGAAAGTCTCAGAAATTAGAATTTTACGACCCGATTCAATAGTTTGCTAAAATCGCTCATTTTTGAAATGTTTTATGGTCGGCAGTCTTTTTATGTGAAAAATGTTATGAAATCATCTTAATCTGGAACCTTGAAGTTTGTGTGCGTGTTTACGATGATAAAATGTTCCAGAAGGCGAATAAACTACAATCGAAATATGCGAAGTCAAACTATCTACTTCAATGTTTCTTAGGCTCATACCTGAGGAGCTACCTTTTCTGGTGAATTCAAATTGAATTGTTGTTAGCTTAGAATAGAAAAGTGTCGGAAAAAGCTCTGCCTGTCAAGAAAATTGCTCTTAATGTTTTTTGGTTTTCAATGATGGTCACTCCCTGTATTTATTCTTAATTTGTTATGGGTGTGAATTTTAACATATATTAGCTTTTTTGTTCAAATATTGCAGTACACTTGCCAGCTTGTGAGCGTTAGTGTATTAGTACGAACCTTCTTCTTTTTCTAACCTAAATCGCAAATAAAAATGTTCATTAAAAGTGTTCACGTATTTCATTATGCTATAAATGAATCATCATATGTAGATCGCTGGACCGAATCCGACACGTAGCCGACTTTTTATTAATTTATCTCGGTATGCTTCGATCCATGAGTGACAGATATCGAATTAAATTTTATCCCACCTCATCAAATCAAGTATTCTAGCGGAGAGACTACAGATTTCTTTTATCTATATATTTGTTGTCAATAGTTTACCAGATAGGTTTACATCCTTTTTTTGGTGGTTTACCCCATTTATATTTATTTTTGTTCAAACACCGGACTTTACGAACACCTGATTTTGTCCGACTAATATATCTATTATATATTTAAATGCGGGCATCACTGTCTCGCCACATTTAAACTTTTCGTTAAAATTTTTGCATGTTTAACGAAAGAATTTTTTCACGTTCAAGTTATATCGTATATTGCAATGGTGAAGATTTTTTTTTAGATTTTCCTGTTTGAATTCAGTGTTTTTTTCACCAAGTTTGAAATAATCAACCCAATTGTGGGCTGCTGTCAGGGTTCCCCCAGGGGTTGCGAATTTTTTCTCGAATTATGAATTCCCTTATCCTTTTTTTGTTAACGAGATATGACGTTTTTTGTGATTTTGTCAAAAAAATTTCTGAAAACTTTCATATGAAAATTTTTTGAAGTTTTGAAATTACGAACTCTTTACATGGGGGCTGTCAGAGTACTCTCTGGGCTATCGAATCTTGCCTTCAAATATGACTGCTTAAATCGATGTAGCTATCCAGATATGACGTTTTTTCGGATTTTTTCAAAAATTTTTCAGAAAACTTAAATTTGAATTTTTTTTAAAATTGATTTCCTAACCCTGTGTGTGGGTGCTGTCAGAGTACTCTCAGGGGTTGCAATTCTTGCCTCTAAATATGACTGCTCAAATCTTTGTATTTTTCCAGATATGACGTTTTTATGATTTGTTATGACGTCATTTGCTTCCATTTTCGAGGATGTGACGTTCTTATATCCGTTTGAATTTTTCCATAGATGTTGTAAAGATATAAAAAACTTCTTGCCTCCAAATCTGATTGCTCAAATCCTTTTAGTTTTCGAGATAAGACGTTTTTTGTGATTTTTAAGAAACTTGTCAGAAGACATAAATTTAATTCTTTTTTCTTCAAAATTTGAAATTCCCAACCCCGTTGGTGCCAAATTGCCAAAAATATTTGAAATTGCTAAAAATTTGGAAGCACCGGAAGTGCGTTAAACGCTAGTATTATTTACTTCTCCTGTTTTTCTAAATATTGGAAAATGGATAGGCACTTACGATCTTGCCATGTAGAACATTATGTCATCATGACACGTGGTATAACGTCGTATGAATATATTTATCTGTTTTAGAGAAGTCTTCAACAAACAATATGCACCATATTTGAAAAAAGGACAGCTTTTCTGAGTATGTATTAGCACGCATGGCGACACCTCCTGAATTCTCCCTTTTTGAGTGGTTCTTCACTGTGGATCACAAAGTAAAACCTGGCATCGAAGCTAGAGCCGAAAAACCCAATCTAGCCGGTAGGAACTCTGTTAGGTCTGTTTTCAAGTTTAAATGTTCAGTGAGCTTGAGTAACTTGAAGTTTTTTTGGGTTTAGAAATAACCTATTCTTGTCTCGACGATCAACACACTCCCCAATTCCTGGTCAGAACTCATTTTAATTATCTTTTTTTTTGTCCTAATAGTGTCGAAATTTTACTATCGTAAAAAGCAGTAATTTTTTGCTGACATGAATTAAGCGTGATAGTGATAATTAAGCTTATCGAGCCTTTTTATTTTTGCCAGTATCGGTAAAACTTTTTGGTATTTGCTCACCAATGTAGAAGAGGCTCACTCTGATGGTAATTTTATTGTAATTCATCGCCCGAAGAGTTTGGAAAAATTAGTATGGTTTTTAGAGTCGGTTGCGCAACATTGCCACAGAGTTGACAGTACCTTTCGAGGTGAACCACCAGCCAAAAATACTGCACAGGTAAATAATTCCAATTTTTTTTATCGTGGTTTTCTGTTTGCTTGTTGCCTGATAACATTAGTAGTTATACAGATGATTAACTTTGTCGCTAATTTAGTGTACGTTACTGCTGCTAGTGTATGGGCGGCCAGGTACGTATGCCTTTCTTATTGTTGGTATTTTCGGTTATACCTTTCTCACTGCCCTAGCTTTTTGCTTGCAACTGTTTCATTTGCCGTAGAAGTTCCTTGAAATTCAAAGAGCTCTAACAATATATATTTTTTCGGTTTTATAAGTTCATTAACAGCAAGCTTTTGGCCATATTACAAAAAAATAGAAAGATTTATTTTGCGTGTGGTACAACGGAAAAGGCTTCTTATTGTCATTCGGTGCTTAATGGTCGTTAGGTCTCAATGGCTAGAACATTTTTTGTGCCACTGGTGTTTGCTTTAAGTGCTGTGTGTCAGTCCGTCACCTTAAATGTTGTCATGGCCCACTAATTGGAGCGAGTTCAATAATTTGGTCCCTGGAAAAGCAAATATAAAAGATGAGTCCAAAATTTTAATGAAAACGTTGAAACATGCACGTCAATAAGTAATGAAAAATGCACGTCCAAATATTTTAATTAACATTTTTTTCGGGGACTCATCTATTTTTTGGGTATTTAAGTTTTATACTCACCAGCTAATCGTCTGTTTGAATTATTTTCTGTCGGTATTGCATGCTTAAATTGCATTGAATTATTTCCTGTCGGTATTGCATGCTTAAAATGCATTGAATTATTACATTTCGCTATTGCATGCTTAAAAATTGCATTGAATTATTTCCTGTCGGTATTGCATGCTTAGTTTGCATTGAAGCGATCTTAATATACAATCATCCTTCTGGCCATGAGCAATAAAAAAGTTTATAAAAGAATATAACTACTGCATTTGCGAAAAGGGATTGTGGACTAGATCTCTTCAAAAACTTGAAGTACCACTAGTTTTTGATGTGGACCTGTTTTAATTTTTGTCACATATTTTAATGTCGACCTGTTTTTGGTTTTTGTCCCATCTTTTTTTCTGCTTCGAAGGTAGGCAGGCGTACATGAACAACAGAACTTGCAATGCAGCATAATCTTCTTTCTTATTATCTGTCGCCTTTTAGCTCCCAGCTGGAGTTTTTCTACTTCGAAAATGACGACAAAGAAGAAGACATTTTGTACGTGGCCTGTCTTTTGCATTGGAACTCGCTCACTATCCAAGGAATCATCAGGTAATAACCGTGTTCACACTTGCGAGCGTTCGTGTATTACTACGAAAGTTCTTTTTTTTTCAACCCAACTCGCAAATAAAAGTGTTCACTTATAAGGAAATTTCACTGTAGCATTGAAAATTGCATCGCATCAATTCTCTGCTTTATTTGTGGCTAGTTTCTGTTATAGATTCAGCGTCTCTGGCTGAGTCGTTAGTGGGTGAGACTCATAATCTCTAGGTCGTAGTTTCGAATCCGAGACATAGGCGAATTTTAACTTATTCGGGGCCTATTTCTAATTTTTCATTTTGCTTCTTATAGCTGCTTTTTTTCTTGTTCTCGCTCTTGTTAGCCAAACTCAGCTCAGCTTTGAAATTTTCGATTTTTCGTCTAATTTCGAGCGAGTAAGTAGGCTTACATTAGCTTAGTTTAAGCCTTGAAAGTTTTGATTATTCAAGTAAAGTTAGTTTTTAGCGCCATATTAGTAATCAAACACGTCGAAAGTCGAATTTTTAAAATTGATTTTCTTAATATTTTTTTTGAATTTTCGTTTTTCCAGAAATTTTTCTTCAAAAACTGTTTTCCATTTAGCTTATCTTATTATGACTGGTCGAATATGCCTTAATTCTAGTTTTTTGTTCAGGTATTTTTATCACACCACGCAGAAAACGAATTTTTTGCGTATTTTTTAACGACTATGGTTGGGTCGTTATGTGCTGCTTGCACAATAATCGGCTATCCTTATGCAATTCTAAAATTTATTTCACACAGAAGTTTTTTTGTTGAAGAAAAGTCAAATTGTTTCACGCTCAAGTTTGATTTTTCGCTCTCGATGTATTTAAGCTCAGTTCATTTCCTTTGTTAACAGGAGGGCAAACTCCACTATTGAACAGCAAAGTCACGAAAAACATGATCGACTTCTAATTTCGAACATGGATTTTATTTTTCCTGGCGGAAGAGCAAATTACCTAATGATCCAATTTTCTCTTAACTTTAACGAAAAAAAATCAGTCATAATGTTCAAATAACTTCAACGTGATATGTTTCTTCGTAAAAAATTCAAAAGGTGAAAATTACAAAGTGTATTACTACGAACCCTCTTTTTTTCCACTTTAACTCGCAAATTTGAAAAAAATGCTCTCTTTGATTTTATTGTCACTTTTCCAACTGTCTGTTGGCCTTTTTTTTCCAACAAAAAGTTTTATTTAAACAAATATGTTTGGTTTTTTTTGGCAGACAAAAGCCTGAGTTCACTTAATCTTATGGAATTACTTGTAACTGCTTTTAAATTTCTGTTTACTGTATTTACGCTAGCCAGCTTGCGAGCGTAGTGTATTAGTACGAACCTTTTTTTCCCACCCTATTACGCAATGAAAAAATCTTATTTACTGGCCCTTTTGATATAATCACAATCTATGGTATAAGAATTTTCGTAGCACCTGTTCTCTGCTTTATTTGTGACTAATTTTTGTGAATTGTCTCACGCTGAGTGGTTAGAGCGTGAGACTCATGATGATATATAGGTCGTAGGATTGAATCAGACACATAGCCGAATGTTTTTAAAATTGATTCGAGGCATTTTTTTTTTACTTTTTCTTATTTCACTTTATAGAGCTACGTTTTGTGGTTTTCTCGCTAGTGATTGTGAAGCGCAGCTTCACTTGTTTAATTTGGAAAAAAATAACACAGGGTGAAAACATTCTGGAGAAATCATTTGAAGCTAATGGGGCCCAAACTTGCGACGATTGATGTGTTAGAATTGATAAATTTTAGTGTTGAAAGATTTGAGAGTTGTGCTTACTATGTTTCTTTTAGTCGGAAACCTTGTTTCGGAGAGTTCCAAGAAATCCTACAACAGATTGCGCATTTGAAGCCCAGTCGTGAAAACCTGACTAAATTAGTGAATGGCTTGTACCATTGTTGCAAATTCAGCCATATAGATATATACAGCTTTTCAGTACGTATACAAAGAAAATTTTTCAGTTTTCAAAAAAAAATAGTTCAAAGTCTCTTGAAACCAATTTGTCTTTCAGAGTTCAGCCTTGCCGTCTTTCTCTGTCAAAAATAAAAAATACAAGTTGGAAGATATCGTAAGTTAGCTTTGAAAAAGACTAAAAAATTTATTTAATATGTATTGGGTGCATTCGAAAATCTTCATTTTAGGCATTAGCCGAATTGTTCACGAATCTTGACCTATACGACATCATTGACCTGCTCTGCGTGTGCGTACATTTTAAGCTATGATTTTATAAGGGAATTTTCTGCATACATGCATGCCAATAATGATATTACCCTTGCGATTAGTAGAGGTGTTGTCTTAATCGGGTATTAGTCTTTCCGGCGGTAAAGGACAGCAATTAGCATAGTAAAAATTAGAAACGTTAATTATCTTTTTTTGGCTTCCTTGCGTTCATGGACACTTTTCCATCTATCTATTGGCTGTTTTAGACTCCTGGTGGAAGGTAATGTGTATGTGACGAGTAACAAGCTAAACAAGATCTCCAGTGCAATATTCCTCATCACCAGACTTATCAGACCATTCCAATGGTGAGTCACTAAACAAAATTCATCTATCTTGTACTAATTTGACAAAATTATACAGAGTGTTGACCTGTACGGTGTTTATGGCATCGCGATTTAATTTTCTTTCAGGCAACAAATCAAAATTCCACTTCTGAGCCCGAACATGCTGCAAATATGCAGGTTCGTCTGAGTCAAACTTATATTATTGTCACTAAGTTGTTTTTCACTAATACAAAATCAAATTTTTTTGTAGTGCTCCCCTCCCGTGTATTATTGGAATCCACGACTCCATATTTGAAAAAGCTAAGAACGAAATAATTGAGACGAATCTAGAGAATGCGCCAGATAAAAACAACACCGGCTACTATGTATTAGTTAACTTGGACGACCCAGATAAGTCGGCCAGATTCACTCGACTGGACAACATGCACAACAGGGAGACTAGAGTGTTCCATCATTTTCCCCACAATCATGTACGTAGTCAGATGTACCAGCCACGACCATAAAACTTATGAATAATCTTAGTTGTTTCATGGGTTATTGCTTTGTTTCTTGAGACCAAAGCTTAACTTTTTACATAGATGTAAGTTTCGCTGTCATAGATATAAGTTTGCGACTTATATTGAAAAAACCATGCAATGTATTTGTCATACCGCAATGTATTTGTCATACCTATTGTTTGTTAAATTGAGTTTTAAAGTCCCCTTGGGACTAATAGCTTTGAGTTCTATAGTCTCGATAGGACTCTTTTGGCATCATTTTTTCTGTTTGTATGTCTTGCTTGACGTTGTCTTCCCCTGGCTTTCGTGTTCCCCGTCATCAACATTTTTCTTGTTTTGGTCCACCCCGCTTTCTTGACAGATTTTTGTGTTGATGAATAGAATTTCGTTGTTGGTATCAGTTGTTTCATCTTCAATGGGCGGCGAGGTTAAATCGACTACCTCGGTGTGCCTGTCTTGTTCTTCGGGCTAATTGCTTATATGAATTTGACGCATGCTCTGCTTTGAGGGGTTTTTCCAGAAAAACCCATTTCTTGTATCAGGGATTTTAAACTTGGATAATTGTCGGTTTGTTTGTCCGGTGGTGAATCAATTTGAAGTTTAATTGGTTGTTTCGTCTCTTCATCGTTCTTATCTTCGATCGCGTTAGTGGGTACCGGGTTCCCAAAAGCATGTGAAAGCGCCGATTGGCGGTTTCTCGTTGATTTTCTCAATGGCTCGGTTGCATTCGCTGGAGGAGTCTGTTTCTTGTTTTGCCGTTTAGGCGATGGGGCAATATCTTCGGATGAGGCAGATGATTGATCGTCATCTTCGTGATTGTCGGTGTCTGGTGTTGCTGGTTGTGGTATGTTGTTGTTAGATTGCGAAGTCCCGGCCGGAGTTTCTGCTTGTATACTCATCCCACTCGTTTGTAGTTTCCTTGTTGGTCGCCCGCCGATCCGTTTCCCTGTTGATTTTGCTTTTCGTTTTGTCGTACTATCGGATTTTCCTTGTGTTAGCATCCTTTTCTTTTGTGTCAACTTTTCGGGAGGCCAGTCTTTTCGTCTTCTTTGAACATTGGGTGCTGGGGAGCAGTAGGATTCTCGATGTCTAAAAAACGTAGGCAAGGTCCTGATCTCCGCGCGGATTTAAAAGCAACGTAATCACTGAGGCGAGACGGTCTGCATGGTCCGTATATTAAAGGGTTTGGTACAAATGCGACACCACTATTTCTTAGTAATCTTGATTGTTTTCCGAATGTTTGAACCCAAGCAGTGTGTGGGGTATATGCAAGTATTTTGCCGTCTATGGTTTTATATTACTGTTCCAATGTTCTCGGATCCTTCACCTTGGTTGCTCTTCTTAATGTTTTCCGTGCTACCTGATCTATCCGTTTTTTCGTGTTTTTGTCTACCGTTGTTTGTAATCCCTTATACCTTAAATTTAATTTATCCTTGACTATTTTTATAGCTTTAGATTTTGCACCTGTGTCTTTCTGTTGTGTTGTTAAGTCTGAGTTTGTCAAGTCCCGCGGCATTTGGAGTTTTTGATCTCTTTTGTTGATGTTTACTTCGTCTTCCGACCATCGTTGTAAGTCGTGCATTACTTCAGCGGGTAGGGGCGGCTTTGTAAGATTCTTGCGATCTAAACATGCATGTTTTGCATTCTCCCAATTCAAATTGTTAGGTGAACTACTAGTTGCTACGTTTGATAAGGTGTGTTTGGTGTACGTCCCATGTGGGCCTCAAATGGTGAAATTTTTGTTACGCTATGCGGTGTAATTCTGAGTGTTTTAATAATTTCTGCTACATCTGAGGCGAGTTTCTATGGTGTATTTGTTTTGTCAGTTCTCATGACCGCTAATCTACGCTTCAAAGTTTGTATCATTCTCCCAACTACCACTATTGCTCTATGATCATCCACCGGTGCAAATAATAACTTAATATTGTTTGTATGACAGAACAGTTGAAATTTTTTAGCTCTAAATGTTTGTGCATGACCACATCTTATCTTTCGGGGTACCCCGTTATTGGAAATGTATCGTTGCATAAATTTAATGGCAATATCCGCTGTTGTGTTTGTAACGACTTTTGCAGTTGGAAATTTTGACCACTTATCTATTGTGTATAGAATATATGCGTCTCTATTTAGTTCATCCGGAAGTGGCACTGCAAAATCCAATTGTACTTCCTAATTTGGTTCAACTACTGGTTCTATTTGGAACGAATGTTTTTTTCCGATGATGGGTTTTAAATTTTTACCTTGCTCGGTGCAGTGTTTGCAATTTTGTGCTATCTGCACAATTGCCCGATGTATGCGAGGAAACCATATATAGTTACTGAGGTCTAGCATCGCTGCCGATCCTGGGTGTGTCAGATGCAGACTATCGAGCACTGTCTGCCTCAACTGTGTAGGGATGACTATTCTTTCGTCTTCTCGGACATGGAGTCTGTTTCTAATGTTGTACCAGTACTGGCCGTAGGAAGCCTTGATTGCTTCCCAATCCCTCATTTTGACAAAGTTTATTAGGGGGCGAAGGTTTCGATCTTTCTTGGTGGCTGCGGCGATGAATCGAACGCCCAATACTCGCTGTATTCTTTGTCTAAACAATGGCGTGTCCTCTTCAGATTCAACCGTATTTGTAGCTTTCTCCACCGTGGTGACCAGTTCTTCTGTTATCATTTTGTGACTGGCTTTAACGTCGTGGATCCCATTGTTGGTGGTTCGATGTTGTGTGTCTGTACTTCTTGTACGCAGATGTTCGGGTCTACATGGCTGACACAGATATCCGTGACTGTGCTTTTTTCGGGTGTTTGTGTAGAAGTTGTTGTATTTCGTGGTTCGGATGTAAATGTTTGTGTAGTTGCTGCTGTAGTAGTCGATTGTGTTTGGGTCGGTGTCGTTTTCATGTTGTAGCCTGAAGTGATCCGATCCGTTCTGTTTCCGGATGTATTCGTAGTTGTGAAGGTGATCTTCGGGAAATTTGACTTTTTACTGATGTCGATCTTCTTAGCCGAAAGTACCTCTCTGGCGACCCGTACGGGCGTTGCTGTTTGTTTGGTGTGCTCTTGCTGTGGTGTTTTTGTACTTCAGGGTATCCTTTCTTTCCCTTTGTGGGAGGTTTTTTATGCCATCTGGGGTCCGAAAGGCTTTCTTCTCTATCTGATGGGCCCTGCCAGTTTTCCGTTGATTCGTTTCGTCCTCTTGTCCATGATGATTGAAGCTCCGTTGGGATGAATCCTCCTTTAAATCCCTTGATTTCTTTACGGCTCATCGCTGCGTTGTTATGTCCTTGAAATGAAATTATATGGACAAAATTTTTTCTGTTTGTTCGATATTGAGATCGTTTGGATCGGAAGAGTTGACTGGTTTACAGCAGATTTTGAGTGAGACTGATTTTTATGTGGTTAGTTTGGCAATGACCGGTTGCGGAATGTTTGGAATGTTTCACTGGTAATTGAATGTTTGAAGCAGCATTCAATAGCCCTTTGTTTTTCGCGTGCTTTTTGATCAGCTCATATGGTGCTTTGTTCTGATTGGCCAGATTATTTAGAATGACATTGTCAATCATTTCCAGGTTATTAATGAATTTCTTAATTGATGCTACAACAAATTCCTCATCATACTCACTAGGGGCTATTGCCAATCCGACCGGGTTTCGGGATATGTAGTCAATTAGTCCCATTTTACTCCCAGCAAGATGTTTGATATCGAAGTGAAAGGAAATTAATCGGTCAATCCAACGTGTGAGCCGGCTTTGACTTGTTTTTGATCGTTCGCTTGCGTTTAAAGCGCTGATTAAAGCTTGATGATCAGTGATGACGGTTAAATATTTACCATATAGATAGTATTTAAAATGTTCGATTGCCCACACGACCCCTAATAGTTCAAGTTCGTTAACAGAATATTTTTCCTCTAGTGAGTTCAGAAAACGTGATGCATACGCTACGGTAACCCACCGTTCTGGTGAAAATTGTTCGAGCGCAGCTCCTAATCCCTAATCTCCTATACCAATTTTAGTATGTTTTTAAATGTTGTGTTATGTTCTGTGGATCATTCAAGTGGTCTGTTTTTCTCTTTGTTTTTTAGCAATGGGAGTAATGCGGCAGCGGTTTGTGCCAATTTTGGAGTGTACCGTGTGAGATGATGTATTGAACCCATAAAACTTTTTAATTGTTTAAAAGTTTTTGGTGGTGATAGTTTTTCAATAGCCTCAGTCTTTTTTACAAGTGGTTTTGTTCCCTCACTATTAACAGAAAATCCTAGCCACTCCACTTGTTTGCATGCAAACTTACATTTATCCAATGATATTGCCAGATTTTCCTCGTCTAGTTTTTTCAGAACTGATTGCAACTTTTGTTTGTGTGTATCCAACGATCCTTTTGTGACGATTAAAATATCGTCCAAATAAGCGTAAGTGTTCGTGCAATTTGTAAGGGTTAAGTCGATCGCTTTTTAAAATTCAGCTGGCATATCCGTGAGGCCATTAAACCCTGTTTGGAATTGATAAGCTCCACTAGCGTTACCCCAATAAGACTAAAGTTGCCTTGTTCTTTGGTCGTTTTATGCAACGGGATTTGTGAATATGCGTAGCGAAGGTGGAGTGTTGAGAATAGTGTTTGTTTGGATTTGTCTGATTTTACCACCTGCGCGATATTGTCCAACAATAGTTCAATGTTAGGCATTTGGTATTTATTTTTGTGGATGAATTTGTTGATTTTCTTAGAATCTAACGCGAGTTTGACTGTTTGATCCTTTTTTACTGTGATTACAATTGGACTAATAATTTGTCGGTCTGAGCATTTATCTAGTTTGATGATGTGATTTTGATCCATCAATTTGTTTAGCTCCCCTTCAACTCTTTCCTGTAAGTGACCGGAATACGTCGTCCTTTTTGTTGTATTGGCATGAAGTCTTGACTGAATTGAGTTTTCATCATTTGATTTTTTGATTTTCCAATATGTATGCATAGTTGCTGAAAATTATCTTTGACC